AACTTTCAAATAAATTGATACTTAATTAATTAATAATGTAATATTTACAAAAATATTTAATACAATATGCTTCAAGGGAATTAACAAGAAAAAAAAAGGCTGAGAGTTATGGAGCTCATGCGATCGATCGGAGAGAATTGCAACACAGTAGAAGAAGATGGTGGAGAGAATTGCAGAACGCTGCCGCCTAGAGATGGCTGAGGATATCTGTAGCATGTAGGAGAGGGAGCTAGGTGGAGACAATTACATGTAGAACACATACATGGAGATGGCTGAGCTAAGATGGTGCAGCATGTAGGAGGATGAGGTGGGGACAGTTGCTCAATGGGCATGGAGATGGCTGAGGATAGTGCAACATAGGAGAGAAAAGGAGTTGGAGAGATCTGCACGACGCTTGGAAAATGGCTGAGGGAAGGGGTATATAAAGGACTTTCAGCAACAAGAGTTATATTACTGAAGGTTTACCATAAATTATAATCCCTCGATACAGGATAAGTCAAGAGCTATGAGAGGTAGAGAGAGAGCGGGTGCGTTCAGCAACGGGGCATGCGGACGACGGTCAGCACGGAGTTGGGAGCCTTTCGGAAACCAAAGAAGGATCAGAGATGGGCGGATGGATGGTTCACCGGTAAGAGGACTTAGGAAAAAGCAAGACATTTGGGGATGTGATAGAAGGGTGTATAATCAAGCCTCAGTATTTTTCTTCACAAATTTCCCGGACGACTGGAGTCATGAAAGTATGTGGCTCACCTTCCGGAAATTTGGAAGAGTCTTGGCTATTTACTGTCCACCAAGGAAATCGAAATCAGGAAGAAGATTTGGGTTTGTAAGATTCTTAGAAGTTAAGAATGAGGTGGAATTGGAACGAAAGCTGGATCAAATCAGAGTAGGGACATCCAAACTCTGGGTTAACAGACCGAGGTTCAGGATGGAGGTTGGGAGAAACAGAGGAGATACAAAACCAGCTGAGAGGAATTTTGTTAAACCAGGGAGGTCATTTGCAGAGGTTGTTAAAGGGACCCAAGGGTTGGAAGATAAGGAAGGAAATAATCTTCAGCAAGCTCCAAGCACTAGAGATAGCCAAAAAATGCAGCAGAAGAGTAACTCGCTCAAACCACAAACGCAGGTATGGATCAAGAAAACTAATGTGCGTGCAAGTGCTGGCCTGGAGTTTAATGTGAAAAATGAGGACCTCCTATGGCTGGAAGGGTGTTATGTTGGAACTGCACATTCGGTTAACATTATTCCAACCCTGCAACAGAAGTTCTTCATGGAAGGATATTTTTCGTGTAAAGTAAGACCTATGGGGGGACGTTTGGTCTTATTGGAAGGGGGTGATAAAGACGAGATTAAGGACTTAGTGGAAACAACCCCGGAATGGTTGGGGCAGTGGTTTGAGGAGGTAAAACCCTGGTCACCTTCATCGATTGCTCAAGAAAGGTTTGTGTGGATTCGATGCCAGGGTGTTCCGATTCATGCCTGGGGGCCTGAGTTGTTCTCATCAATTGGGGCTGTCTGGGGAAAGGTTATCTCCTTAGATGATAGCACCAGTAAGAAGATCAGATTTGACATCGGGAGATTTCTAATATCCACGCCCATTATGGAGTTCATCTCTAAATCCATGTCCATCTCAGTAAACGGTATGCCATATACAGTCAAAGTAATGGAGGAAGAGGCAACTAACGGCATTTTCTCCATGAAATCCGATCATGTGTTCAGAGAATTAAGTGCCTCAGATGATCACAGCTCAGAATCATGGTCCCTAAATAGCGATGGCGAGGATGCCTTTGCTGAATCTATTCATGGCGGAGGATTCTCTAGGGAGTATGGGAAAAGTGCAGCTGGTAGGGCTGATGATGATGACATGGCAAAGGTTGATGACGTGATAGATGACCATGGAAGAGGGCAAGCAGAGAGGTGGATGGAGAGTCTCAACGTGGACATAACGGCTAGAAGAAAGAAATTTGAATTTGAAGATGATATTGACAGAATGATGAGTGATGATGGTTCCAATATACAGGCTGAGAAGTTTTTTGAGGCAAGTGTTGGGAAATCTCAAAAGTCTCCTATCAGCAAGCCGGAAGAGATGACTGAGGAGGTAGGCTATGTTCCAGATAGCCTGAGCATGCATTTAATGCAGAATCAGGGACAGAATTCAAATTGTGAAATTGGAAATTCGAGTGGGCCAAAATTTCCTAACCGGGCGAGTGAGGAGAAGTGGGGCAAGGGTTGCGGGCTGGAACCTCAAACGGGTTTGAGAGATGATGAGGATTGGGCCTCCTATTTGGGGCCCAATAAGGGAATCAAATCTTATGTAGCTGGAGATGACTTGGAGATAAGTGAAACGGAGAAGGATAAGGTTGAGGAAGATGAGGTCAAGCGGAGAAGCAGGGGTAGCGAGAAGGCCAAGGAGGATGAGGTGAATAGGAGAAGCAAGGGCAGCGGGATACCTGAGGACGATGAGGTGAAGCTGACAAGCAGGGGAAGCGTGGTGCATGTGAAGGACGAGGCTAATCGGCGAAATTGGGAGAGCTTGATTAATGAGGAGGATGAGGAGTCTCGGAGAAGCAGGGGGAGCCTGGGACCCGAGGAGGAAGAGGTGAATCGGACAAGCATGGGAAGCTTGATGCATGTGGAAGGGGAGGCGAAATCGGAACTTGGGGGTAGTGTGATGTTCGAAAAGGGTGAGGGGATTCAGAGAAGCAGGGGCATCTTGATGTCCGAGGAAGATGAGGTGGACAGTGTGAATCAGAGAAGCAAGGGTAGCTTGAGCCGGTTAGAAGACCTTAGTGAAGAAAGTTCCTTTTTGCAGGGATTCGAAAGTGAATCGGGGCAATTGAAAGCTTGGATGGGTAGAAAGGAGAGGGAAATCAAGAAGCCAAAGAAGAAGAAGTCGAGGCCATGTTCTTCGGTGTATAAAAACTCCAGAATTGTGGTCCAACCAAGGACAGAGAAACTGCAGAATAGACGGAAAAAATACCGAGATTTGGAGGAGAAGGCTCCGGAGTTCTGTCCAGGTTCACAAAACCAGGTAGCTGGTGAATCAATAGCAGACAGTGGTATTGAAAATAGGAATAAATGCTTGCGGGCGGAGGGTAATATCAGCAAGGAAATGAAGATATGGGGGTTTGCCAGAGAAATTGGGGTTGTGGATCGTGGAAATGAGGAAGAAATTCTGCATAGGCTCGAGACCATGGAGGAACGTGACAGAGAAAATTTTAGAAAAGCAAAGACCAGTGAGGTAGATATTGGGGGAATCAATTATGGTGTTTTATTATGATCTTTATGTCAATTAATGTAAGAGGCGTGGGTGGTCATGGGAAGAGAGCAGGGGTTAGAGAATTAGTGATTCGGGAAAAAGTGGAGTTCTTATCAATTCAAGAATCCAAAACAGAGGTAGTGGATCATCAGCTCTGTAGAGCCCTTTGGGGATCGGATGAATTCGAGTGGGTTGCCCAACCTTCAAAAGGTACGGCTGGAGGTTTGATTTGTGTTTGGAATTCAGAATTATTGAAGAAAGATAGAATTATTGAAGGGGAAAATTTTATTGGGATTTTTGGATTTTGGGGGGCAGCTAGAACTCCTGTTTATATCATTAACGTTTACTCCCCATGTGACCTTCCTAGTAAAAGAGCACTATGGGCTTCTCTCAAAAACCTTATTTCTGAAATTGGTGGGAACTGGTGTTTAATGGGGGACTTCAATGCAGTAAGAAATGAACAGGAAAGGAAGGGGGGGATGAGTATAAGGAGAGAAATGCCAGAGTTTGATGATTTTATTAATGAATGTGGCCTTGTTGATTTACCATTAATTGGCAGAAAATTCACCTGGTATCAACCTAATGGAGCCTCGATGAGTAGGCTAGACAGATTTCTGCTATCAGAAGAATGGTGTTTGAATTAGGAAAATGTCAAACAATGGGGTTTAAACCGTTCACTCTCTGATCACTGTCCAATTGTGCTTAAAAATCAAATTTCAGATTGGGGCCCGAAACCATTTCGGTTCTTTGATGCTTGGCTGGAATTTCCTCAGTTTAAAGGTATTGTCACTGATACTTGGAAATCTACAGTAGTAAAAGGATGGAATGGGTATCGTCTGAAGGAAAAACTGAAGGAAACTAAAAAAGTGCTGAAAGAGTGGAGCAAGAAGATGACATCAGAGATTGACTTGGGCATTCAAAAGAGCATTGACTCTATTGCCTCTATTGATAAAAAAGGTGAGGAGATGCCTCTGTCACTAGAAGATATTGAAGCCAGAAGGACAAACTTCCTGGAGCTATGGAAAAATCAAAGGATGAAGGAAAGTATGTGGCGCCAAAAAGCTAGAAAGACATGGATTAGTGATGGGGATGCCAATACGAAATTTTTTCATAGATGTGTGAAAGGAAGAAGAAGAAAGAATGATATATCAAGTATCCTGGTGGGGAATCAACGTCTTGAAGAAGTCAACAGCATGAAAGAAGGTGTGGCTAATTATTTTGAGACATTGTTTAAAGAAGATGTGTGGCAACGACCAGTGTTAGATGGGGTTGACTTTAAGAAGATCTCAGAAGAGGAGAGGGAAATGTTGGAAGCACCGTTTAGTGAGGAGGAAGTCAGACAAGCTGTGTGGAGTTGTGAGAGCACGAAAGCACCAGGACCCGATGGTTTCAACTTCAAATTTGTCAAGGAGATGTGGGGAACTATTAAGGATGACGTAATGGGATATGTATCTGATTTCCACAAGCATGGCAAACTGGTTAGAGGGATGAACTGCTCATTCATTGTATTAATCCCTAAAGTCAATAGCCCTCAGAAAATTGAAGAATTCAGACCAATCTCACTAGTTGGTGTCATGTACAAACTGATTGCGAAATTGTTAGCACGTAGGTTGGCTTCTGTCTTGAATGGGATTATTGGGGAGAATCAGATGGCTTTTATCAGTGGAAGGCAATTAGTGGACAGTGTGATCATCGCAAATGAGATTATCGATGAAGCCCAGAAAAGAAAGAAGAAAGGATTTGTGTTCAAAGCTGACTTTGAAAAAGCTTATGACAAAGTCTGCTGGGAATTCCTGGATTATATGATGCTAAGAATGGGGTTTGGTCAAAAATGGATAAACTGGATTAATGAATGTTTGAAAACAGCAGAAGTCTCAGTGCTTCTTAATGGCAGCACCACCAGGCAGTTTAAGATGCAAAGAGGTCTCAGACAAGGTGATCCTCTCTCTCCTTTCTTATTTTTGATTGTGGCTGAAGGTCTTAATGGCATCATCTCATCAGCTGCGTCATTGGGGATGGTTAATGGGATTGATATTGGGCAGTGTGGCATGAATATAACCCATCTCCAGTTTGCTGACGACACAATTGTGTTTGGTAATGCTTCTGAAGAAAATATTTGGGCTGTTAAAAGTATCATGAGGATCTTTGAGATGGTGTCAGGTCTTAAGATTAATTTTGGAAAAAGTATGCTTATGGGCATCAATGTTCCGGAAGAATGGATGACTAGGATGTCTTGTATTTTGAATTGCAAACAGGGATCCTTTCCATGTAAATACCTAGGCATGCCGATTGGGGGGAAGAGCAGATGTATTGCTATGTGGAGACCTATGATTGATTCCTTTAAGAAGAGACTGGCCAGCTGGAAAAACAGATTTATTTCTCTTGGTGGAAGGATCACACTCCTTAACTCCGTGCTATCTAGTCTCCCTGTGTTCATGATGTCTGTCCACTTGCTGCCTAAAGGTCTGATTCTTATTCTTGATAAAATTCGTAGGAATTTTCTTTGGGGGGGTGGAGAGAATAATAGGAAGATCAATTGGGTTTGCTGGGAGAAGGTGTGTAGAAGTAAATTGGATGGTGGGTTAGGGGTGAAGGATCTTAGAAAGTTTAATTTAGCGTTGCTAGGCAAGTGGTGGAGTAGACTAGCGGAGGGAGAGGAAGGTCTTCTTTATAAGGTTATTCGTGAGAAATATGGTAGTAATGGAGGTAATTGGTTGAATTGGATCGAAGAGGGGAAACAGAAGGGGTCGTTATGGTGGAGGGATGTTTGTAGATTAGATTATTCATGCTCTAATAGAGTTGGCTGGCTCTTAGATGGCTTTAAACTAAAGTTGGGAGTGGGTATCTCTGTCAAATTTTGGGAGGATGTTTGGATTGGGGACGAGACACTAGCCAATAAATTTCCCAGACTCTTTTTGAACTCTTTAGGCAGGACAAAGAGCATTTCTCAAATGGGATTCTGGAGCAATGGAAGTTGGAATTGGTCATTAGAATGGAGGAGACCTATCTTATCCTGGGAAGAACACTCGATGGCGGAGCTGTGGAGGATGCTGCAGAATATCCATCCAAATATGGGACAAAAAGATCGATGGGAGTGGAGGAATGACCAGGGTATGTACTCAGCTAAATCGGGTTATCAAGTTCTCTCCAGCATCCACCATCAGAGTAGGAATAACTTGCATAAAAGAACTTGGTGCAGGTTAGTCCCCACAAAAATTTGTGCCTTTGTTTGGAAAGTCCTTCAAGATAGAATACCCTCCAAGGTAAATCTGTATAAGAGAGGGATAGTTCCGGATCTCAATCTAGCTATATGCATGTTATGCAATGAGAGTATTGAAGATATAGATCACCTATTTCTTCATTGCAAGTTTGCATATGCAGTGTGGTCCAAATGCCTCCAATGGTGGAGAACATCTTCTGTTAGAGCAGATAAGTGCTATGCATCCTTTGAACAACAAGCTGCCTACTTTAAAAATGCAAACATCAGGGCAGGATGGGATGCAGTCTGGTGTGCAACAATCTGGTCTATATGGAGTGCTAGAAATGAAAGGACTTTCAGAAACCAGGACCAAGATGTCAATAGGACCTTTGAGCTGGTGTAACTGCGAACATTCCAATGGATCAAAAACAGAGTAGTAGGGTACTCTTTTAATATATGTAACTGGATGTTGGAACCTATGGAATGCTTGCAAGATAAAAGGGGAGGAAATTATAGTGCTGCAGGACGGGGGCTAGGGGTGAATCCATGATAGCCGAGAGGTGTTTTATATACTGTTCTGTTCTTTGCTATGGGATCTAGTGGGTGTGTCGGGTGTTGGGTTGTTGATTTGAACAGGGAGAGTTGATGAGATTGCAAAAGATGGCAGTTTTCCCGTTACGGGTATAGTGTCGACACTATATTTGGGTGTCGACACCTTACATTAAATTTTGATGTTAAGGGTTTGGAGTACCCCTTGTATTCCGTTTTATTAATAAATAATATGTTTGCTGTTCAAAAAAAAAAAATTACTGAAGGTTTACCACACTATCAGTATCATGCTCCATGTTGCTAAAACATATTTGAATTTCAAATCCACTACCCATCACCAACGTGTACCATGTTGCTAAAATTTAAAATCAATAATTCTCCTGCCACACAACTCCATTATTAAAATTAATATATTTTACTTAAATCTTAATCTTAAAAAAATTTATTTTATATCTCAAAATTTATTTATTATTAGATTTTGATTAATCTATTAAATTTTATTTAATATCTGATAAGTTAATTAATATAATTATATTTTTTTTAATATATAAATAATTTAAAACTCTAATTTATCTAAAAATATGTGTGGATATATATATCAGGCTACATAGATATTTGACATAAAGTTACTGCAATTTTTGGCCAATAGTCAACTTTTTAATATAAGAGTCGACTCTCAAGAGAACAGAGTCAACTACACCCACCATGGGGAACTTTCTTTGCTCTCTGGAATTTGGGAGTTAAATGTTGAACCTTTATAAACGACTCTTTGATGCTTGAGAATCAACTCTTCATGTATAAAGTCGACTCTAATCTGTAATAGGATGCTCGAACCTCTTTGGAATTTGGGAGTCGAATGTTGCTCCTTTATAGTCGAATCTTTATGTATAGAGTCAACTCTAACCTGTAGCAGGATACTCAAACCTCTCTGGAATTTAGGAGCCGAATGTTGCTCCTATATAGTTGACTCTTGGAGGCTTGAGAGTTGATTCTTGATTTATAGAGTCGACTTTAACTTGCATCAAATGCTCGAACCTCTTTAGAATTTGAGAGTCAAATGTTTCCCCTACATGGTCGACTCTTTGAGGCTTGAGAGTCAATTCTTGATGTATAAAGTTGACTCTAATCTGTAGTAGAATGCTCAAACCTCTCTGGAATTTGAGAGTCGAATGTTGCTCCTTTATAGTTGACTCTTAAAGGCTTGAAAGTCAATTCTTGATGTATATAGTCAACTCTAACATGCAACAAATACTCGAACCTCTCTAACATGCCCCAACTTTTGCACTTATTCTTATTGCACTTTGATTTTACCATAGCACATTACATATAATGTCATTTATCATAGCACATTACATATAATGTCATTTATCATAGCACATTTTTTCAATTTATCACAATATTGTTTACTCTCCATTAAGCAACAGAAAAAAGAGTTTTGAAATTTATAAAAGCTATTACTTTTAAATTATAATA